ATTTTCATTTTCTATTTGAACTAAAGACATGAGCGTGCGTGATTCTATAGGGTAAATGAGCCTATTATAAGTCTAGTAGGTTACTCCTCTCATCACAAATTGATTTTGGAATGAAACCTCAGTAACATGCACTTAGGCTCACCCTTTTATGGTGCGTTTCATCTGGTGATTCTGTAAATCTAATAAAACACAAATAATTCTTGTCATTTAAAAAAGACCGAAAAATCTGTCCAGACAGATCTGCATGACGAAGAACACAATTATTAAAATATAGTTTTCACAAAAGTAGACACTCGTAAATAGTACAGTATTTTCTAATAAAAATAATGTCTGACTTTATTCGAATCGAGACCATGAAAAATCTATATATGTATATGTAACTATAAGTAGAGTTGTTAACTAGAGATGTTAAATGGTCATTGGCCCGACGAGCCGGCCCGTTTAGCCCGGAAAAAAACAGGGTTAGGGCCTTTTATTGGCAACCCGTTTAAATCCGGGCTTTTTAGGCCCGGACCGTTTAGCCCGAACGTTTAACTTGGATTGGGTGGTGTATATGTTTTTAGAAAGGTAAAGAATATGTTTTATGATTCCTTGTATATTACAATTTTGTTATTATACTTCACATGTAATTATGAGTTATAATGTATTATTATTATTTTGATAGGTAATTATTAACAAATTTTATTCTATTTCACAGCAAAATATTTAAGCCAATAAGAACAGCTAATAAAAACAAATGAGACAAAGACCTAACACATAAAATATAGTGATAGAATATAAATTCAGCAGTATGCTATATTGTGAAAATTCCCGTAGTAATTTTTATAACAGTGGAGTGTAGTGTGTTATTGTAGTTTGTAATGTGTGTTCAATTATGGACTGTAGTTGTTTATATACAGTGGTAAATATTAAATAGCCGTTGAAAAAACTCATTAACTAGGTGTTGTAATTTATTATTATTATTATTATTATTATTATTATTATTATTATTATTATTATTATTATTATTATTATTATAGTCTGTATAGCCCGAAGCCCGCTAGGTTTAGGGTTAGGTCCTTTTATTGGTAGCCCGTTTAAATCCGGGCTTTTTAGGCCCGGACCGTTTAGCCCGAACGTTTAACTNAATAATAATAATAATAATAATAATAATAATAATAATAATAATAATAATAATAATAATAATAATGATAATAGTAATAATAATAATTTTCAGTTAATTAATTGGTTGTGATCTCCTAAGACTAAAAAAATTATATTATTTATCACAATTTATGTCATAAATAAAAGTGATTCACATGTAAGTTATGCAATTTATATTTATATTGTTCATTTTATAAATTGAAAAAATTTAAAATGTGTGAGACATTATCTAACTTATAACTTTAAATGCTATATACATGCATAATATTTTATTTGTGTTTTTTCATGTAAACATGATCTTTACAAAAAAATGTTATATTCCAATGGAAAATCCTATAGTAATATATTCCAACGAAAATTCTAACAGATGTTCCAATGGTATAGCTTTTCCGACGAAAATATTCTGTTGGAATGTGTGATTCATTAGAATTTTAGATGGAATTTGATGACTCCAACAGCTATAATTCCAACGGCTTTTTACCGTTGGAATATGCAATTTTCATTGAAATTTTTATTTCCACCCACGTTGAAAAATCTACTGTTGGAATCGTCAAAATACAACGAAAATTTCAATGGAAAAATCATTCCAACGAAATATTTTTGTTGGAACTTCCGTTGGAATCCATTCGAAAAATTCCAACGGAATTAATAGCATTGAAAAATATCCATTAGAATTGCCGCTGGAATTCTATTTAATTATATTTCCGTTGGAATTTCATCATTTTTTTGTAATGGATATGGACTGCTAGTTAATACAATTAAGGACTACTGTTATTAATACACAAAGATGTCGAGTTGTCATTTAAACTTTATTGATTACACTTTGACAAAGTATAATCCACAATTAGAGATTTTAATATTAAGAAGTTTGGAAAGTTGCCATTTCAACTTTATTGATTACACTTCGACAAAGTATAATCTACAATGGTTTTGCTATGAAGCCAACAGTTGGCTCCATAGTGGAGTCAACCTTCTATATACAACAAATAAACCTACCATATTAATAAAATTATATTAGTGTTATTTAAATAATCAGAGAATATGGTAGGTTTATTTGTTGTATATTGAAGGTTGGCTCCACTATGGAACCAACTGTTGGCTTCATAGCAAAACCGTAATCTACAATTGGAAAATTGAATATTAAGAAGACTGGTAACATTTTAATGTTGATTGGTATATAACTAATTTGATTTTCTGATGTGTCAGGCAGGAATTAAAGAGGTACTAAGTAATGTTTTAAATACCGTACCGTTAATCATACCGGTTAAGCTATCGGTACGCTGTATTACCGATAGGATCGGTAATATTGGCGGTATTACCGGATTAGCAAATATAATGATATATATAAATATACATAAAAATATATAATATCAAATACAAAAAAGTAAAAAATAAATGACCATAATCATTAATTACAACTTCTCAATGAGATAAAAATTAAACATTTTAACTATCAATTTAAATTTTATTTTTGTAAATTAATTTTTATTTTTATTTTTTTTATTGGCTGGTATTTTGCGGTTTTGCGGTATGATCCCGGTACATATCGGTATAACCGTAAATTCGGTATTTGAGTGTAATTGTACCGTACCAATGGCTGATATTCGGTATTACCGGCCGATACAGTACGGTATTTAAAACATGGTACTGCTACCAAATAATTATGGGGTTCATCAGTTTTGCTATGAAGGTAACAGTTGACTCCATAGTGGAGCCAATCTTCTATTTTTTACTTCATTGTGGAGCTAATCTTCTATATACAACAAGTAAACCATAACGTATTAATAAAATTATTAGTATTATTTAAGTAATAAGGTGATAGTAGAGAGGAATTAAAGTTACAATGCATTTATAATTTAAAATAAGGGAAATAATATAATTATTATTTATAATTACTCAATTATTAATCTTTTTTCTTAAAGTTTGCTGAATTTCGAGCACTAATTTGCTAGCATCAAGGTTTTGAAATCTCATCAAAGAAGTTAAAAATTATTTATTTACTGCTCCTCCATGGGCTAAGTTAAAATTTTTATCGTAAAAGAGTATTAAGTTATAACTTTGGTTATATCAGGACCATGTAACCCATGTAAGATTAAATCTTGTTTAGAAAGAGATTGGGCTTATGTGCTAACTGTATGTCGTGGAACGTATTTTTCTATATTTTCTTGAGCCTAGTTGTTTCTGGCCGTGAAAATTCTATACAAAATGGAATGACTATTTAAAGTAAAATGTCTTGCCATATCATCATGCTTTTCCATTTTCATATTCACTCTCCTGTTTTCATTTTTTAATTGGATGCATGACATGTGTAAAAATATGATATTATCATAGACACGTGTCATGCATCAAATGACATAAAACACAAAATAGAATACAAGTTAAATAGAAAATTATTCTAAATTTAAAATCAAATCCCCATAACGGTTAAGGAGTGATCGAACTAAAGATAAATTATAAATAATTTTAAATTATATATTTATAATAATCCAAATATCAAAATAATTATAACAAAAAATGTACTCATACATAAATATACAATTTTATAAAATATACAGTTAAGATGATATATGGAACCTAATTAATTATGCTATTTATTTTCCACATCTCAGTTTTCTACTTTAGTGAACACGAGTTAATAATATATCTGATGTGAACACGAGTTAATACATCAGTTGGCCATTTTTAAAATATGAAAAGGGTAAAAAAAAGGGTAAATGGTAAACTAATAGCTTAGGCCCATGTATTGTTACCCATTTTCTCACAAATACCATCAATATCAAATATTCGCTGGACATGTCAAAAATAGCATCATGTTTAGAGATTGGGCTTTGCTAATATGCAATAATAATGAGGAATGTATTTTGTTGAGCATCATATGCAACCATGGCTACTATAATCGGCCTTAGATTCAACTATAAACATATCTTTCTCCATCAAAAAGATGTAATGACACATAAAAGCAAAGTACAACTTCTCTACCAAACTCAATAATGGATGGTGAACGAAACCGAGATAAAGGGAAAATCTGCGACATTTATCATGATGTGATGCTCAAGGGCGCCGCCATTCCAAAAAGAAGATACAAAGCTTCAAATGTATGTTATCTTTCTTTCTTTCTTTCTTTCATGCCATCAAGATTGGGCTAGATTTCACATAATATCAAATAAGGCTCGTGTGTTTTAAGATTGATCTGAATCATCCGAGTTTGTCATTCTGGATGCAATCTCATGGTACGTACCTAGGCTATTAACGAGAGGGGATTTAAAGAGCAACTAGGGTTTGGTTAACTTATTTATGATTTCTCGACGGTTGATATCTACATCTCAATCATATAATCGAGATGAAGAGAGAGATGGAAAGAGAAAGATAGGGTTAATGATATGAAGAAAGAATGAAAAAGATGGTGTTCAATAGGGTTTTATAGGACATGCATCGTTATTCTATAAATAGTAACATCCTCACAAGTGGAAAGTAAGAGAACTCGAAACACTACGTGGCTATCATAGCCGATATAGTTCAAACGTTTAGATTTTCGACAGTGAATTTAATATCGACAACATAATCAAATATTATCCAAGACAAGTAAGACACATGATTTAAAGTAAGAAAACTGAAAAGCACCACGTATTGACAAACTAACTATATTTGACCGTGAAAGGTTACCTCATATTTTTTTCCATCCAAAACTTCGATTCTTAATTCAATTGGTGACTCCTACACCATTACCATCGACAAGAGTCATGATCACATGACAATGTTATGCCATAAAATTAGATTCGCGCCAACACTGAATAACGGTTTTTTAACGAGAAAAAACTATTTGTTGCACGAAAATCACCATTCAAGTCAGCTCAGTTAAGGCCCTTTGATATCTATGAGATCAACAAGGAGTAGAGTGACTATATAACCATAAACTAAAAGTGAGGTAATTTCTCTAAGTAACCTAACAATGGATGGTGAATATAATCGAGGTAAGGAGAACACCTACAAATCCAAATTTCCTACCAATATTTTATATTTCTCTTAAGCAAACCTAAACTAACCTAATTAACCAACACAAAGCAAAACATACATACCATGAACAACAAAACACAATACACCAAGCACCAAGATAAGAGTACAAACCACACATACTTAAATTAAACAACACAAGTGCACAAACAAGAGTTACGCAGTTAAAGTACAGAAAAACAAACACACAAAAACTAAAATAAAACCATGTCCCGCACGCACACGAACAACACATTATTAAAAACCAGATCAGAGTTGAGAGCAATCAATCCAAACCTAAACAATATTACCGGACAACAATTGTTCGTCAATTGTTGGGCCTCAAACTGGGCTCGAGCTCATTCAGAACCAGCTTTGCCTTTTCCACCTTGATCTCCATCTCTCTCCGGTGGAGCTCCACGTCCTTCACAAGCAGCTTCCACCACTCGCCGGCCCCACTCGCCGGCGCTGGCCCTCGGAAAATCTCCGACCCCACTTTCTTAATGAGCCGGCCCATGCCACCGTCGCCGCCGCCCAACCCCACGATCTCCGGCACCATACTCCGGACCACCGCCATGTCATCCCCTTCTCGGGCCGGGCCCGTCTCTTCCAGCCTGTTTTCGATTCGGGCCCTCCTCCTCGCTTTTCTACCTCTCGTCCCGAAATTCAACCCCTCCCCCCACCGGGGGATTTCGCCGCCCCACACGAGCTTCGAGACTTGGTAGACCAGCCGCTGGTGGGACCCGCGTGGGGCCCATTCGGGACGGGCCGAGTTGTCGGAGAAGTTTTTCCGGAGCTTCCGGATCTTGGCCTTCAGCTGGTTCGGGTTCGGGTCGCCGGACAGGCGGCCCGCGATGGACCGGTGGAGTTCGGTCAAGTTGATGGACTGCGCGGACCGGTTTCGGTCCAGGTGGTCGATTAGGCCGTGGAGGATGAGAATCTCGTCCTCTTTTGAGAAAACCCTAATTGGAACGGTGTTGGGTCTCGGGTTTCTTGACCCGACCCGGGTTCTGGCGGGTGTTATTGGGCTCCTCGGATCCGGGTCGGGTGCGGGATTGGGATCGGAGCCGTTGAGGAGAGATGGGTGGAGATGGGAAAGTGCGTCGTGGTTTTCTTCTTCCCTGGGTTCGGGTTCGGAGTCGGAGCGGCCCAAGTAGTCGCGGAACAGTGAGCGGGTTTGTTTCATTGTTAGGACTTTGCAGAGAGTGAGTGTGGATGAGAAAATGACCGAGAGAGGCAGCAGATTTTTATAGCTCAAAAAAAAAGGAAAAAAGGAAAAGCAAATGGGGCTGTGGGTCCCACATGACCGCTGCTGCTGACGGCGTCAACTCGGTGACAGCGATGGTTCCACTCGCCTGGGGACACGTGTGCGTCTGCGCTTCAATATTTGGTTTTTCATGCAAGAAGGTTGGGCCCACCCCTGGCTGTTTCCGTTTCTTATTTACAGTTTCTTTTTTTTTTTTTTTTTTAATTAAATAACATTTTTCAGTGATATATATTTACATATTTTTAATTTTTGCTCAACCTTTGTGGTGAAGGCATGAAGGGTGCGAATTTGGATATATATGAGCTGTTGTAAGGAAATTAAGGGCTAACTAATTTTGCTCTTTCTTAATTAGGTAGTTACATATCATATTATCAAATTGATGTTTATTCTATATATGTTTTTTAATTCAAAATTAAATTTGCTTTCGAGGAACAATTATTACTACATGACAAAGGTTACGGTGGGAATGTATGGATGTATCCGTTACAACTTTCGAGTCAGGGCAAGTCAACCCATTACTATGCGCGTGAAATAAATATTATTACAATCATTTTAATTTTCGTAATGTTGAAAAACTTTTCCTTTAAAGACTCTAGTACACGATATATATATAGATTACAACAATAATGTGTAATATTGAAAACTTTTCCTTATAAAACACATTCTTGTAATATTTAAAAAGTAAATGCTTCAATAAGTCTTGAAATTCTTCCCATGTAGTTTTGGTTTGTGTTTTGTATATATATGAAGGAGTGTTAACAATTTTGAGTCCGAAAGATGGGTTAATTCGAAACCGAAAAGATAAATTTTATTGATTCGGGACGGAGAGATCTAAACTATCAATTCAAAACTCTTGCTTCATTAATATAGACCTCGAAGCTTCGCTATAACTCATATAATATATAATACGGGAAAATTTCAAAATTGGTCCTATAATTTGGCCACTGTCCAAAAAACTATCCCGATATTGACCACTTTCAATTTAGGTCCTATAATTTGTCGATTTCATCAATTTTGGTCCTTTTTTATCCGCCCCTGAATTACAAAGTGACGTGGTATGAAAAAAGGACCAAAATTGATGAAATCGACAAATTATAGGACTAAAATTGACGTGCCACGTAGATCATAATCACGCCATGTAACATTGAAAAACTGACACATCATGCCACGTCACTTTGTAATCCAGAGGCGGATAAAAAATGACCAAAATTGATGAAATCGACAAATTATAGGACCTAAATTGAAAGTGGTCAATATCGGGGTGGTTTTTTGGACAGTGGTCAAGTTATAGGACCAATTTTGAAATTTTGCCTATATAATACTATATATCTAGCTAGTACTTGTAATACATACTATAAATCTAATTTTACGTATATTTTTATTATGTAATATTTCTTCTTATTCATGTAATGCAATAGTCACAATACATATCTTGAAATAAATTTTCTTTTTTTAATATATTTTCTAATAAGTCATACAATCATCGGCACAAATCCATACGGTCAATATGACTAAAATCTTGTAGGTTCTTAAATTTTCATCACCACTATTTAAATGTAGTGGGATTATAGTTGCAGCCTGAATTTTTGATCATACTCTATTTTCACTTTTTCCTACATCATGAAGTTGTATTAAGCACTATAACACATTAACACTATTATTAATTTATTTATATATTCCAGAGTTTGACACAGTTCAGTGTTGTATATGAGAGTGTTTTTTGGGATATAAGCTAATGTAGGTCTTTATTTTTTGTGATGCATCTGAATTTGGATATGGTGCCAGCCTGCAATAGGTGTTTGAGTTTTTGTCAATTAGGATTGTGTTATCATTTCTTGTTATTGTTAGAAGTTATGCAATTGCACACATTCATTAGTTAATTTTGAAAAAAGTTGTATGGTTAATTGTTAGTGAGATTTTGAATTTATATCAAAATAATATTTAGAATAAAATAATTATAGTTGATTTGATGTAAAAGTAGAAAATCAATGACGTGAATTGATAGTTAGTTAAAATTATGTGAATGAATGAATAGTGAATTAAAGTTGATGTGATGTGTAACAATGATTGATTAATATTATTTAATTATATTGATAATATTGAGGATAGTGTAGTTGAATTAAACTTGAATTAGATTTTGAGCATAAATTAAGCTACTTTATATATAAACATATCCTTAGTA